ACTAAGGTTTGGCAAAGTCAATGTATGAGTATGACATTATTATACATTTTTGAAATCAGAATTAAAAACTCTATTCATCTCTGTTGTAGAGGAGAGAAAGTGGCAACGTTAATGTCCAGTGTATTTGAACACCCCACTACAAAGGCAACATTTTCTTGATTACCTAAGTATGGAACTTTCCTCCCATTTAAGAGACTTCGTAACTCTTACAGTTTCTGAGATCCCAATGGTGAGGGACGAATTTGAAGCACCCTATATATGTTGTGAAGCAAAAATTCAATGTTCGTATCCTGTTGCTACAGGCGAATGAAACTATTGATAAATATACTAAGTGACATATAAATCCGAACACCCAGTTTAAATGGTTTTATTTTAATAAAATTTTGTATAAGTACTTAATGAAGCATAATAAGTAAATGATAAAAATTTCAAAATGATTGCACTGCTTTAAAGCCCTTTGACCTTTAATAATGTGCGGATGCACCCTGATGTGCTACGCATTCTCCAACGCGCCTAGGCATGCTTCTGATCAGGTGGTCAATGTCCTCCTGTGGTATCTCATTCCAGGCAACCACCAACTCCTCTCGAAGTGCTTCTAGAGTCTGAGGAGGACGTTGCAAATTGAGCAATCTCCTACCCATCATATCCCACACGTGCTCAATTGGGGATAAGTCGGGAGATCTTGGTGGCAATGGTAACAATGTGACATCATTATGTTGAAAGAAGTCTATTGTGACTCTTGCAACATGTGGTCGCGCATTATCATTAACTTGTTACCAGTGATAGACAAAATCTTGGAAACCGTGGTTTGTGCGCAGTTACGGGAGTTTCTGGAGGCAAGAAAACTGTTGTTTGTCGGGATTTCGGGAAAAACACTCGTGCGAGTCGGCGCTGCAGTATGTCTGTTCGAAATGGCGTTCATACATTCATGACGGGAATATTGTGTTAAGTGTATTCATCGACCTTCAACGTGCATTTGAGACCTTTTCTAGGAAAAGACTGATCCAGAAATTGCAGGCCTATGGGATTACAGACAGTGCACTAAAATGATTTATGAACTACTTGAAAGACCGTTGTCATGTGACGAAGATTAATAACGTGGCATCAAATTGAATTGATAGTGAAATTGGGGTACCTCAGGGTAGTGTGTTGGGCCCGCTTTTGTTCCTACTTTATATAAATGACTTGAACAGTAAATACATTTCTGAGCTTATTTGCAGACGATACATGAACTCGATACTGGAAATTCTGTATAACTGGTTATGTGTGAATAGGCTTAAGTTGAATGTAGAAAAAACAAAATACATGGTTGTTGGGACAAAGCAGAACTGTAATTTTTAGAAAAGAAATTTTGTATTGAGATAGATAATATTCAAATTGAAAGTGCATCTAGTATGAAGTATTTGGGCGTAGTTTTAGATCCTCAGCTACATTTTTCATTGCATGTTGATTATGTTAGTAAAAAAATTGGGAAAAAAATAGGATTTTTTAGGCGAATATCTGAAAGTCTTAGTCACTGGAGTCGTCTTCTTGTATATAATACCATCATATATCCACATTTTAATTATTGTTTTTCATTGTTGCTATCATGCAAAAAAACTGATATTCAAAGGCTGCAGTTACTACAAAATAAGGCTATGCGCACTATATTATTTTGTACACGTTATATGCCTATTAATTTAATGTTAAAAACCCTCGGATGGCTTTCAATACAGCAAAAGGTTTAAATGTCAAATGTCTTATTTATTTTTAAAACAAAAAATCATTTATTGCCTGAATACTTGCAGGAATATCTAATACCGAGGTCCGAGAGGCATGCATATAATATCAGGTCACGTAACACTTTTGACATAGAATTCGCTAGAACATCCCATATGCAAAAATGTCTTTTTAGTGATGGTTTGAGACTTTTTAATGCATTACCTACAGAAATTAGAGAAGCGACGTCTGTAAATATATTTATTCGTAAGGTTAAGCAATTGTATCTAGATAAAATGGCATAATATATGTACTTTCTGTGTTAAGATAACTGTATGTCATTATCTTGCATTTGCTATTGTTGCATTTACTGTGGTTGCAGTTACTATGATTTTAAGGGAATCTAGAATTACTGTTTTTTTGTTTATTACTGGAGTAAGACACTATTATAAACTATAGGAAGTAGCTTTAGGGCTAAGAATAATAAACATTTCATTTTCATTTTCATTCATTTCATTTTCATCTTGTTGGAAAGTTGGATCTGCCAGGGTGTCAAGTAGGGTAAAAGATGGGGTTCTAGAACTTCGTGGATATAACGCTGCGCGTTCATGTTACCTCTGATGAAGATTAAAGGTGACCTGGAACCATAAGCTATAGCACCCCAAACCATAACTCCAACAGTGTGATGAACATGTCTTTCAACAAAAAACTGTGGATTCCTCCTTTCACCACGTCGCCTTCTAACCCTGGCACGACCATCGTGCATGCCTAAACAAAATCGAGACTCGTCACTAAAGACCATACTGTTCCATTCCTGATCCCAGAGTGACCGTTGTCTGCACCACTCAAGGCGATTACGTCGGTGTTCTCGAGTTAAAGGGAGGACCCAGTGTGACCGGTATGAAAACAAGCCAAAACTTCTCATTCGTCGGTAAACACTTCGCATGCCAATAGGTCTTCCGTGTTCTGCAAACCATTCATTTGCAATGGACCTGGTAGTGGAGAAACGGTCCCTTAAGGCCAATAATCTTAGGCGGCGATCTTCACGGTCTGTTGTTCTACGGCGGCGTCCAGTGCCCCTTGCTCTTTGCGTACGGCCTTCTCGAAGCCATGCCTGACAACACCTAACCACAGTGTCTACACTTCTTTGCACTCTAACTGCAATTGCCTGAAAAGAAAGTCCAGCTTCCCGAAGTCCCACTATACGGCCCCTATCAAACTCACTAAGTTGACGAAATCGTACAGGTCTCCATACTCTAGGCATCGTAACCGATCGTAAAGGATGTCAAGAACCAAAATCCGCCAACGTTGTAACTTTACTGCGGCTGAAATATTCATTTTTAGAGCGTTAGTGAATTAAAAAAAAGCCGTATAAAAACCGAAAGGTCCAACTGATAAGGCTGAAAATTTTTTCACTTGTTATTTACAGTAAGATAAATACATTCGCCAACTTTTATTGAAATAAAACCATTTAAACTGGGTGTTCGGATTTATATGTCACATAGTATATCTTATTCCTGCGTGACTTGCAATATAATAATCATTAGCAGCCATTTTGTTTGTCTAGTTTTTTCTGGTGTGCGGAGGCACTTTTCTAAATAATAGCGTTGTGAGGAATTATGAACCCATTGCGTACACAAGAACAGATCTAGCGTTGACAGAACCGTTAAAATTGTTCACTTTTGTCATTATGGGGTATTTTAAAATGTTATGAAATAATTATCTGCTATTACATTTGACGTAAGGGATACTCGTGAAAAAGACGATGGAAATATATTCGTAACTGTTGGTGGACTCTTGTAGCCTTCATCTATTTGCCATTGCCTGTCAAGGTGGTCCCCTTGTGTCAAAGGCCTCTAGTAGCTTTACTGTGGCCAAATGTGCAGCAACACTTGATATACTTTATGCTTAACCTAATACCCTGAAAGGTGTCTGATCCAGTTCTATACGTTTGTTAAAGGTTTGTTATAAGAATGATTATAATCTCAGATGTAGGAATATCTGTATCACAAACACATAGTATTCTAGTCATTTTCATAGATTAATATATGAAAAATATCTCATGTATCTAAGGTACTAAAGTACATTCAAATGAGGTTTATCAAAACATGAATCAAAATAAAAGCATTCCGCAATTGGTTGCCAAAAGTGAAAAAGGCATTTACAACATGTTAAAATTACATGAACACTTCCAATGTTTTTTTTGTCTTTTTACATTTCATATTTTTCTTTCATAATTGTTATAGACATTAAAATTATGTGGTATATACAACAATTTTATGGAATTTACAAGATTATTATAAATTTGCAATGGACCTGGTAGTGGAGAAACGGTCCCTTAAGGCCAATAATCTTAGGCGGCGATCTTCACGGTCTGTTGTTCTACGGCGGCGTCCAGTGCCCCTTGCTCTTTGCGTACGGCCTTCTCGAAGCCGTGCCTGACAACACCTAATCACAGTGTCTACACTTCTTTGCACTCTAACTGCAATTGCCCGAAAAGAAAGTCCAGCTTCCCGAAGTCCCACTATACGGCCCCTATCAAACTCACAAACGGCCCGCTCACACATGCTCTCCGTTTTACTGGTCCGTTTTATCGGATACGTTTTTTTTCGTCGGTGGCGTATATAGTTGTATGAGCGACTTCACACATGGTACAGTATACTGTATACAGTAAAAAATACTGTTCCCTTAAAATATGACAATCCGTTTTGTCATCGAATAGTGAACGACGGAACAGTAAAAATATACGGATACGTAGAATTTTAACGGATAGATACTGTGTGCGTGGCGGGCGGTTTGTGCGGGGTGTAGGAGGGGGGGTGATACGACAGGTTTTGAGTCGCATTCATTTTCTATTGTACATTCATAGAAAACGCGCGCGTGCATTGTGTGTAATAATTATTATAATCACTGATCAACCATGTTCAACCAAGGAGTGGGAAAAGTTAATAGACAAGGAAATTTTAGGCCCGTATCGTCAGTCGTCCCTACAATTGTAGGGCGCGTTTATGGCCTCCTTGATTGTCATACTTCTTTCTGTCCTTCAAAAATTTCTAAATTACACTTGTCCCGTGTCAGCGTCAGCGCTGTCCTATTGTGAAGATATGTTTTCTTTTTAAATTGTAGGATATTTCAGGCTGATAAAACATGATATAACTCAAAAGCAAGCACAATTTGATGCAAATAGATGTTTGTGACATAACCTCAAAATAGAGTTCTGACACGGAGAAGTAGAAAACTATGACAATCAAGGAGGCCATAAAGGCGCTCTACAATTGTAGGGACGACTGACGATACGGGCCTTAATTACTTTGCTGGAAGATAGGCGAGTCCTTTGGGACCAGACGCTGGATAAATACAAAGACAATACTGCAAGTATTGCAGGTTGGCGCGAAATATGCGTTATTCTAATGGAGGATTTTGAGGCTATGGAACAAAGACAAAGACAAGAGTTCGGTAAGTGTCTGTTTTATCATTTAATTACATTCTAAATAGCTTCATCCTGCCGTGGAACTGATCCAGCTTCGGACATGAAATAGTTCACGAATTCCGTTCGAACTAAATTGGCAGTATTACCACCTCGTGTTCTTACTGCATGGGGTAGGTTTTCGTAACTAAATTCTTGAGATACGTTATTATCACTGTTTGAGCCCTCTTTGTCCCTTATAAAGTTGTGTAGTAGTAATAGTGCATGCCTTAAAAGTCCATACAGCTGTTGTTTTATCGATGTCTAGAGGCCGATGGAATATTCTCCACTTATTAGCTAAGATACCGAAGGCACATTCAACGTATCTCCTAGCTCTAGTCAAACGATAGTTGAATATTCGCTTATTTTTGTCCAGATGCGTCCCGCCAAACGGCCTTAGTCAATTTTCGTGTAATCCGGAACCTTTGTCTCCAATGACCACATAAGGAACTCTCGTTTCTGAGTCTCTTGTTAATTGGCATGGTGCTGGTATTTGAAGACTGCCGTCTAGCATCATTTTCCAACATGATGTCTCCTTGAATATTGATGAATCGCATTCTTTTCCATAAGATCCGACAATGACGTATACAAAGCGATAGTCGGAGTCTACGATCGCTAATAATATAATGGAAAAAAACCTTGTAATTGATATACAGTGAACCGCTATTTAGTGGTTTTTTAAGTCGGATATGTTTTCCGTCGACAGCTCCGAGACAGTGGGGAAAATTAGCTTTTTTGTTAAATCCACTTAAGTCGCATAAATTTTTCACTTAAATTGTTCCATATGCATCTTGAAACTTCTTTAATAATGTTGCTAACAGTCGATACACCAACGCGATAGGTGTAATGAAGATCTTTAAATGAACACGCGGATGCTGCATACCTGAAAATAAAACTGATTGTTTTAATACTTGTTTTAGGAAGACTTGTTATGAAAAAGTGGAGACAGATGAGAGATGCCTGGGTGAGATCACTAAAAGATAAAAAGAATTGCAAGACGTCTGGTTCCGCTGTCTCAAACACGAAGCCTTACAAATACCATAATCAGATGCTGTTTTTGAAAAAAGTAGTTGCTGCTGGTGAAACGCACGAAAGCGTCTCTGCTAAACAAACTGAAGAACACACCGAAGATGACGCCACGACATCGAATGAACCTACAAACGAAGATAACAGTGTGACTACAATGACACAACTTGACAATGACGGTCAAAAGGACAAACAAAATCTAGCCCCCCCGCCAAAACGCAGAGCACCAGCCAAAAGATATTTTAATGAAATGGATGCCAAAATGATGTCCTGCATCGACTATCAGATAAAACCGAAGAAAATTGAGTAGGATGATTGCAATTTATCGTTCTTCAAAGGTATTTTGCCGTCCTTGGCTTTGCTTGATGATGACCAAACTTTGGAATTCCAGTCAGGGGTGATAAACCTATTACAAAATATTAAACTTAGGAGAGTTGGCCAGTCAACTTATGACTGGTCAGCCTATACTCAAACATCTGGTGCTAGTCACTATCAATCTCAGGGCTATTTTAGCAGACCACAGCCTACTGATAGTGCACTATCGCCAGTACAATCTCTATACAGTGATGCTACGTTAGACCTGTCTGAGTTTTAAAAATAAAAGTACGTACCTTAAAAATATCGCTAGTTTTTCTTCTGGGCAGATACTTTCCCTCCAACGAGTATCTTGCTTTTTTAAATCCTTTTCCGATAGTTTAAGAAGTTCATCAAAAGTAGACATTGGCATACAAAAGTAATTGAAAAATTTCGATTCATCACCTCGTAACTGACTCATAAGTAAACTGAAAGCACCCTCTCTAGATCTTTGGGCGATACATGGATGCTGCCAATAACGTCGAATCTACCTTTTCCGACGATAGTACCAATACAATAGGACAGCGTCCATCCTTGTAGAATAGCGGCGGTATACTGCGAGTTTTCTGTCCACACATCGCATCTAGTAATGACGGATCCGTTGAACGTTACGGCCCGTTCACACATGGGAGTCCGTTTTACTGGTACGGTTTTAACGGATACGTTATAAATTTATGCTCTGTTCAGACATAGGCACCGTATAACGTTCAACGGATCCGTCATTACTGGATGCGATGTGTGAACAGAAAACTCGCAGTATACCGCCGCTATTCTACAAGGATGGACGCTGTCGTGTTGTATTGGTACTATCGTCGGAGAAGGAAGATTCGACGTTATTGGCAGCATCCACTTATGGCCCAAAGATCTACAGAGGGTGCTTACAGTTTACTTATGAGTCAGTTACGAGGTGATGAATCGAAATTTTTCAATTACTTTCGTATGTCAATGTCTACTTTTGATGAACTTCTTAAACTATTGGAAAAGGATTTAAAAAAGCAAGATACTCGTTGGAGGAAAAGTATCTGCCTAGAAGAAAAACTAGCGATATTTTTAAGGTACGTACTTTTATTTTTAAAACTCAGACAGATCTAACGTAGCATCACTGTATACAGATTGTACTGGCGATAGTGCACTATCAGTAGGCTGTGGTCTGCTAAAATAGCCCTGAGATTGATAGTGACTAGCACCAGATGTTTGAGTATAGGCTGACCAGTCATAAGTTGACTGGCCAACTCTCCTATGTTTAATATTTTGTAATAGGTTTATCATCCCTGACTGGAGTTCCAAAGTTTGGTCATCATCAAGCAAAGCCAAGGACGGCAAAATACCTTTGAAGAACGATAAATTGCGATCATCCTGCTCAATTTTCTCCGGTTTTATCTGATAGTCATTTTGGCATCCATAAAATGTCTTTTGGCTGGTGCTCTGCGTTTTGGCGGGGAGGGGGGGCATATTTGTTTGTCCTTTTGACTGTCATTGTCAAGTTGTGTCATTGTAGTCACACTATCATCTTCGTTTGTAGGTTCATTCGATGTCGTGGCGTCATCTTCGGTGTGTTCTTCAGTTTGTTTAGCAGAGACGCTTTCGTGCGTTTCACCAGCAGCAACTACTTTTTTCAAAAACAGCATCTGATTATGGTATTTGTAAGGCTTCGTGTTTGAGACAGCGGAACCAGACGTCTTGCAATTCTTTTTATCTTTTAGTGATCTCACCCAGGCATCTCTCATCTGTCTCCACTTTTTCATAACAAGTTTTCCTAAAACAAGTAATAAAACAATCAATTTTATTTTCAGGTATGCAGCATCCGGGTGTTCATTTAAAGATCTTCATTACACCTATCGCGTTAGTGTATCGACTGTTAGCAACATTATTAAAGAAGTTTCAAGATGCATATGGAAAATTTATGCGACTTCCTACATCAGTCGACGAATGGGAACAGATAGCAAGTGGATTTAACAAAAAAGCTAATTTTCCCCACTGTCTCGGAGCTGTCGACGGAAAACATATCCGACTTAAAAAACCACTAAATAGCGGTTCACTGTATATCAATTACAAGGATTTTTTTCCATCATATTATTAGCGATCGTAGACTCCGACTATCGCTCTGTATACGTCATTGTCGGATCTTATGGAAAAGAATGCGATTCATCAATATTCAAGGAGACAACATTTTGGAAAATGATGCTAGACGGCAGTCTTCAAATACCTGCACCATGCCCATTAACAAGAGACTCAGAAACACTGAGTTCCTTATGTGGTCATTGGAGACAATGGTTCCAGATTACACGAAAATTTACTAAGGCCGTTTGGCGGGGCGCATCTGGACAAAAATAAGCGAATATTCAACTATCGTTTGACTAGAGCTAGGAGATACGTTGAATGTGCCTTCGGTATCTTAGCTAATAAGTGGAGAATATTCCATCGGCCTCTAGACATCGATAAAACAACAGCTGTATGGACTGTTAAGGCATGTACTATTACTACTACACAACTTTATAAGGGACAAAGAGGGCTCAAACAGTGATATTAACGTATCTCAAGAATTTAGTTACGAAAACTTACCCCATGAAGTAAGAACACGAGGTGGTAATACTGCCAATTTAAGTCGAACAGAATTCGTGAACTATTTCATGTCCGAAGCTGGATCAGTTCCATGACAGGATGAAGCTATTTAGAATGTAATTAAATAATAAAACAGACACTTACCGAACTCTTGTCTTTGTTCCATAGCCTCAAAATCCTCCATTAGAATAGCGCATATTTCGCGCCAACCTGCAATACTTGCAGTATTGTCTTTGTATTTATCCAGCGTCTTGTTCCAAAGGACTGGCCTATCTTCCACCAAAGTAATTAAAATTTCCTTGTCTATTATCTTTTCCCACCCCTTGGTTGACATGGTTGATCAGTGATTATAATAATTATTACACACAATGCACGCGCGCGTTCTCTATGAATGTATAATAGAAAATGCGACTCAAAATCTGTCGTATCACTCCCCCTACTACACCCTGCACACACCGCCCTCCACGCACACAGTATCTATCCGTTAAAATTTTACGTATCCGTATTTTTACTGTTCAGTCGTCCAGTATTCGATGACAAAACGGAATGTCATATTTTAACGGAACAGTATTTTTTACTGTATACAGTATACTGTACCATGTGTGAAGTCGCTCATACAACTATATACGTCACTGACGAAAAAAAACGTATCCGATAAAACGGACCAGTAAAACGGAGAGCATGTGTGAACGGGCCGTTAGTTGACGAAATCGTACAGGTCTCGGTACTCTAGGCATCGTAACCGATCGTAAAGGATGTCAAGAACCAAAATCCGCCAACGTTGAATCTTTACTGCGGCTGAAATATTCATTTTTAGAGCGTTAAAGAATTAAAAAAAAAGCAGTATAAAAACCGGAATGTCCAACTGATAAGGCTGAAAATTTTGTTATTTAGAGTAAGATAAATACATTCACCAACTTTTATTAAAATAAAACCATTTAAACTGGGTGTTCGGATTTATATGTCACTTAGTATATATTCCACAGGTGGAATACATTAACTAATTATGAAGCTTCGTACGCTTAGGTAATTAGGTACATTTTGGTGTTGTGGGGTGTGGTTGGGAATTTAAGGAGTTGAATACAAATGTGACTTTCAAAAAGACTTAAATTATATACCTTCTAGATGAAACTGCAATGCGGTAACGGTCACGATTACTGGACAAACTGAGCTAGAAGATTACAAACAGGTGTGACACTCGGACGCTCTACTGAACATAAAAGTTTAGGATAATGTAGAAATAATCATTTATTCAACATTGTTGCTTGGAGATTTCCGACAATGGCAACAAAACGGAAACATTATATGTACGTCGGAAGTATCGATTGACCTCTAGATACTACACGGATTAAATTGATGAGTTGCTTTGAGATTTTCTGGGATAATGGCCAGATATGACCTTATTAGTTTCTGTAATGCGCATTGATAAATGAATAATTAATGTAATTGTATGGGAGGGCAAAACCTAAAGATCGATGTACCGCTACTGTTATAAAGTATTTGTTTCACCTCTAACACGAGAAATTACCATTATTGACTGCAATATGCTTTTTTTACACAGAAGCAGCCGCGCAGGCAGAAGCCTGAATGTCAGGGTACCGCGACTATTATGATGAGCTTAAATAAACTTTGTTAATCCGATTTTTGAACCGCCTGAGACTAGAACTGGGAAAAGCCTCCTCATGTAGGATGTTCCACAATCTCGATACCCTAGGGACAAAGGAGCGGTCGTATCGGACAGTTCTGGATGTACGAAGTTCGACACGGTTAGGATTCCCATCCGAAGTGACAAGGGTCTGGCTGGCAGGCACATCGTGAGGCGGCATCATGGAGGAGATCTCTGAAAAGCAAAGCCCATTGACGTAGCAGTAGAAGAGAGCTAGATCGCCGATGGCCCGCCGGTGCGAAATAGTCCCGGGACTGTCCGTCGACCAGTAGCACAGCTCTCATTGAACAGCATCGAGCATGGATAATGTAGTTGGCGGCGGCAGCACCCCAAGCATGTGAGCAACACTCAAGGTTAGGTATTATCTGGGCCTTGCACAAAGTGAGGAGGTCGTGTGGATAAAAGTACTTCTTAACCCAAAACAAATAGCCTAGCTTTTTCCCAGCAGTTGCCGTTATTCACGAGATGTGTTCGTGCCAGATCATGCCCTCGGTGATCTGAACTCCGACCAGCCGAAATGACTCGTTGGTAGAAATCAGCCATCCATCGAAACCGGATGAGCGCTATGATGCTTTTTGTTGGTACTGTGTTTTGGAAGCATCGAACTGCATCCCCAAGATGTGGTAACCCCCACATCTCTCGTCAGAAAGAAAGTCGTTGCCAATCTTCTTTTTTCCAACTCATCGGCAGAGACTGGCTTGTCACTTTGGATTCCTGCATGTAGAGTACTGTGAATTGGATTGACCGTACAGATAAATAGGAAACGATGTAAGAGGAACAGTGTCGGAGCCAAGACCGATCCCTGGCGAACACCCGTGTTGACGTTGTGGCATGAACAGGAGAATCCGTCAATTATGACGGATATCTAAGGGCCAGAGAGAAAGTCAGCCACCCATCTGCAAAACTTCTCTGGGAGGCCTTAGGATGGATGTTTGCATAAGAGGGCAGCGTGCCAAAGATGATCGAATGGTTTCGTAATATCAAGAGCAAACACATGAGCCTCACCATAAGGCTGGTTGAGCTTACTTCACAATTGCGTGGCGTAAGCTAGCAGGTCTCCAGTGGTTTATTGGCGCCGGAAACCATATTGCCTGTCGCTAATCAAGCTGTGACATCCGAGGTACTCCAGAAGCTCCCGATTTATGCACTTCTCCATCACCTTATTTATAACAGAAAGCAGAGCTATAGGCCTGTAGCTGTAAGGGTCGGTCTTAGATCCTTTTTTGGGATGGGTTGGACATGAGCAAATTCCCAGTTTTCTGGGAAGGTGCCGGATTCGTAACATATCTGAAAGAGACCCGAAAGAACTAGCACAGGCTCTGATGCAAACCTCTTCAAAACGACGGCAGAAATCAAGTCCGAAGGCAGTTACAATTATTCCATCCTGGCAAGTTAGTGGTGGAACGCTGCTATGTGAGAAGTTCCTTCCAATCTGATGGGTTAGCGTCCAGAAAGACCGACTGACATTGTACTTTGATATAGTTCTACATTGTGCCTAATTGGACGGCTTTTTGCAGAAAGGAACCAACCCAGAAAAACTATTATTGAGCAATTAGGCTTTAAAGTTTTGACAATGATAACAAATTAATTTCAGTCCAAACACGATTTTATTTAATGGCATATTAAACGCATTAAATATGTGTATGGATCTTTTGTACAGTAAATGGTATTGCTCGTAATAGTTTATTTTCCTAAAATCTAGATTTTTCATATTTAGTGGGTTGGTCCCTTTCTGCAAAAAGCGCTCCAGTTGATAAAGGTTTGCCTTCGGCATTACTTATACCCTCAGAAAAAAGTTAACTACGGACATGGATAACAGAGAAAATAAAAGATCAAGTCGGTCAAATAAGTCCATTCAATTAGACCATAGACATTTTTTCCCACTCGGTTGATAGTACCGTTCATCTGTGGCAACGTCGCTCCTGTCGAATGACTCACCACGCGGGTCCATGCATCCACTCATCAGCTCGGCGCCGGCGGTACGACCACGGCAATGCTGGAACAAGACACTCATCGGTGAGACTGCCACGTCGGTAAACCCAGAGAGCAGGAACGTGTTTCGAAGATATTTCTCTGTCATTTTCAAGTTTTAACGGCAGATGTACTGAGAAAATTTCTCATAGATTTAAATCTATTATGTATGAAATATGTCTAATAGGTGCATAAAATCTAAAAAATTTTAACCTTTACAAACAGTTTTCGAAAATGATTAGGAGTCTCTGAATCGTCAAAAAACTGGTTTTATATATTTTAATTTTTTTAGTATTCTGCCCTTAGCTCCGCTGATACTGGACCGATTTTCAAAATCTGCAATGCTTTTCCGACCTTGGATTAGTAGTTATCTGGTGTACAAATTTCATCAAAATTCGCACGGTGGGGGCATTATGTATCTTGAAAAGTGACATTATGTCGTGTTGTCTAAACGTCATGATGCTTCATGTTTGATTCTGATCTGCTCCAGCGATGGCATTATTGGAGATCTAAGCTGAAAGTTATATACAATAGCTGGAAGGAAGTGGCAGCCAGACCCTTGTCACTTCGGCTTCCCATCCTAACCGTGTCGAACTTCGTACGTCCAGAACTGGCCGATACGGTCTGCTGTGAATACTCGTATTTTAAGGGCTAAAGAAATCTATGATGTGTAGTGCGTAAAATTACCAATGTTGAGAGCGTATAAATAAACTAACCTCAAAAATTTCCACTTCCTACAATCTCCATCCCCAAATTTTTTACCTCTAAAATTTTTTCAGGATTAGGATCCTCTGAAATGTTACAAACCGATGGTTGAGCGACTTTTATTTTTCTCGTTTTTGGGCTTTTTCTCCGCCGCCACTGGGTCGATTTTAGAAAAACAACAAAGCTTTTTCATCGTTAGCATAGTAGTAACATTGTGTAAAAATTTCATTCTAGTCCGAGCAGTACTTCTTAATTTATAGGCGGCTAGAGGATCAGCGGACAGACAGACACACCGACAGACAGACCGACAAACAGACATTCAGACAGACAGGAGGAAACGAGTGACATGGTTTTTCGTGATTTACATGTCAAATAACATCCAAAAAACATATCTCATTCTCGAAAATGTTTGCGATCAAGTACAATACTTCCCCAACAGTAGGCGTGGGAAGTAAAAAACAAGATAAAATTATTATAATTAATTGGAAACTGACCTTAAATTTTCCATCTTTAGCACGAAATTTTGTACAATTTTGAGAATTTTTACGACTTGCAACAGCAACTTTTTGAGTAATTAATTGCTGCAGTTCTATGTGGGACACCATGTAGGTATATAAGTTCGTATTTGAGATGACGAGAGTAGATTTTTTCAACTACTACGCGGAACGTCAGCACATTAGTAGACAACAACAACTTCTTTAATTCAATGGTTCGGCAAGCCTAAAAATTGTAGAACTCCACCTTTAATGTAACTAAACGTTGCCAATGGTCTGTTACTTCTGAGGTATTGCGGACCGTTCCCTAATAGATTTATAAAAATATGACGCCACTTTATTGTAGCACATGACTACGTTTTTCAAAATACTTGACTTTTAGAGGATATAAGTTCTTTATGATGTTTTAATTTGCAACCTTCTGTAGATGCGTAGCTTTTAGCGGTAGTGACAAATGCCGTCAAGTAGGTTGACACTGTACTAATTTGTGCTGCACTTCCCATGCAATATAAATGGTGTCATCAGTTCATGAAGGCTTGTGTTAAGCAGAAGTTAGTCTCACGATTCCTTACTTACTACTCCTTATTTTTTGACAGTCATGATAGGGGTTATTACGTGAAAAACCTAGAGTATGTATCTCTGAGATGTAAAAGAAGGAAAATGAGTTGAATAGCTAGATCGCATTTGGATGATTGTGTGGTGATTATGTATATTGGTTTGCATATGTATAAAATCAGTGATATTTGCTATGTGAAATTATTACTTAATATGCTCTCCGTAAACTATATTAGCTGTAATAGACGGGTTATTTGTGTTGTCCTTTTTGTGGAGAGGTTATATATAGTTTTCAAGAACTTTGAGAAGCATTAAGGGAAATCACCACCGCGCCCGCGTTGTGTGTCAAGTCACATCAAAGAAAAATAATAATGTCACATCACACACAAAACATCACAGTGCCTCACATCTACGCGCTAATTTGTATTTACCACTTCGCAAAATATACTGTTATAAAATTTAAATGACAGGAAATAAAATATAATGTAAAATTTAATAAGATTTCCACGTTTCACAAACATTCCTGTCTGTAACTTATTTTCTCTCCACTTAGTTGTACTATATATACTTCACCAACCAGGGATTTTCTTTTTTTCTCTCTCATTTTTAAAATTCAGCAAACTTGCGTTTGACATTTCTAGGATGAAGCATACATCTCAAGTAAGTATATTTGAGACGAGAAACTAGAATCCTAGAAATCTCAAACGCGCTGCTTTTCTTCAAATTACGTGTTCGGTGTTTTCAGACAGCGCTAAGTGTTGATCGATTATTCTCTGTCACGACGGATTCGTCCGTTCAACCGCTCGTGGAATTCACATCGCCAATTTTTTATAGATTTCAACGCTATCCAGGGGCGGATCTAGATGGAATTTTTGTGAGTCGGAACTCTGGGGCTCAAAGCACAAAGTCCGTATGAGACCCAAAGCACAAGGTCCGTATGAGGCCCAAATAGTTGGAGAGCAGTGGGGGGGGGGGGGTAGAACTTCTTCATAAATGCTTCTGAGAGCAAAGTGCCTGCTTGCAACAAGAATTTTTACCCACCCCCGTGGATCCTCCACTTGGGCCATTAAACATAAAAAACGTGTCAGGAATTTCATGAGAGGATAAAAGAACGAGATACCTCTGTAACCGATTGCAATATACATTGTATCAACTAACAACATACCATCAGTTGCTTCTTTTGACAAATATATGCAAAAAATCCACCTACATTATTATTAATATAACTATTATTATTATTATTATACATAATTATTATTATAGTATAAATTTTTACCCTGTATGGACTGGACTATAACCAGGTAATCTGAGCTAAGATCGGCATCACTGCGCCCAGCTTCATCTTTGCATTTGGCGGCAAAAACGAATCATTTCCCATTTTTTATCACTTACAGCAAGGCAGAATGATTTAGTTTGTATTTTGCAAACAGAAGTAATGTGCGTTATGCCGACAATCAAACTGAATATTTTATAGGTACTCATTTCGTATTTTTTCCTTTTTTTGTATTTATTAATTTAACTTTCAAGCCAGCTTTTGAAAGTTTTTCACTCATGTGAGACTACTGGAGACCTAGTATGAATAAAAAATGAATGGTTTGTAAATCCCACAGATTATTAGGTACATCCTGATCCTGACCTTTTGTGGGCTATTTATTATTATTGCGACATGAAACGGATCACCCATTACCGCATGACTACGCGTAATACGCGTCGCGTATGACTTGACTTTTATGACCTTATGAGGGTTAGGTTGACAAACTTTGACAAATCATGTTCGCAAATTATATAATGGCAAGATAATTATTTCTAGACTTCCTTTACATAACTAGACAGCATGTTAACAACCATTCAGTATTAGACAGTATTGAAAATGACCTCAAAAATTCTAACTCGAATAATACAATGCCGTGGCGCAACACTAGTTCCAAAAAAAAGGTAAGTGACACTGCTTATCGAAAGGTGAAGTAGTTAAAAGTAATTTATTATTGTTTATTAAAATGATGTATCAGTTGATGGTTCTTGACCTTTGATTCATCATTGCATGTTTGCCTCACTTGTGCGTTATTTCATCGAATTCTGTTTCCAGTTTTCAGAGATCGAACATTTTACGAAAAATGTCTGCCCCAATCGCAAAAAATGGAGAAAACTTCCCATCTGTGAGCGAACGTAAGTAACCTTTTTCCTAAAAAATCTAATGAAAACTATTGCATGCTTCTGGAGGAAGTATGTAATACGAGTAATTAATGATAGATAAATAATCAGATGTTGGTCTGCAACACAACTTAAAATTGTCCTATTCAGAAAAATGGTTCATCATGATCTCTGAACAAAAATTAACAATGTAACAGATCAACACCTAACCTATAACTAATGTAAACAGTTATTTTTTGGGTCGAACTGTGGTCAAATCAAATTGTGACTTTGATTCACCTACAGTAATGGACAAAAGTATATAGACAAATATGAATATTTACCTAAATACTTTTAGAATACGAATTCATACTTCATTGCTCCATAAACAAATGCGTTATTAGTAGAAAAACTAAATTCCTTGTTTTTACATTATCTGCAATGAACACAATACAAGTCTGAATAAGCATTTTTTATGAGGGACAAAAATATGTAGACTAATTCTTTTCAACAATAGTTTAGTACAGTTTCGAGTCAGAAGAGGATTAGTTTGTGTTCATCAAGTATTGTGGAATAATGGTCCAGAAATTTCTTTCGATGTGAAAACTAAGATCTTTGAGTTATATAAAGATAGTCATCATAAGTTGCCATTGCCAAAAATTTGAAGCTGAAGCGTAAAGCAGTTTGGGCAATATTGAACAAATATAAACAAAAAGGCATCTTGGAAGCCTCTAAGAGAAGTGGTCGACCTAGAAAACTAAATGCTAGATCAGTTAGATTAATAAAAGTAATTTCGTCCAAAGATCCAAAACCCTAAGACAAGTAAAAGCCGAAATCGAGACAAAAGGAATTATCTGTGTTTCTACGAAAACTATAAGTAGAAGATTAAATGATTTGAAGTTATTTGCACGTCGCCCGAGTAAGAAGCCGCTAATCTCGAGGAAACACCGTAAGGATCGATTTGCATGGTTGCATCTTGATTGGAGCATCTGTGACTGGAAGAGGGTATGTTTCAGTGACGAATCCAAGTTCAATATGTTTGGATCAGATGGTGTTCATTACGTTAGACGTCCTAGTGGACAAAGATTGAACCCCAAGTACACTTTGCCCACTGCCAAACATGGAGGTGGGTCTCTTATGGTTTGGGGGTGCTTTTCGGGATTTGGCATGGGACCTTTACATAGAATAGATGGCATTATGGAAAAGTTTTTATACACAGACATACTAAAGCATGTCATGTTACCCTATATGGAAGACAATATGCCCTTAAGATCAATCTTCCAGCAAGACAATGACCCGAAGCACATTTCAAGTCTCGCAAAGAAATTCTTTCTGGTTGAAAAAATACCAGTTCTCAAATGGCCTTCACAGTCTCCCGATATATACCCCATTGAAAATCTATGGGAATACTTAGATAAGCAGATACAACATAAAAATTAACTTTTTGACGCTTTAGAGCAAAAGTGGAGACAGATTGATGAATCTTATATCAAGAAACTTCTACAATCTATGCTGAGATGATGCCAGGTGGTGATTGATAATAATGGTTACGCTACAAAATATGAACACAAACATGGTTGGTTTTCTATAATTCAATGAACTTTGCTTCTTTTTTCTATAATTGTTTTGCTTTGTCTATATATTTTTGTCCTTCATAGTTCCAGTTTTTTTCAATTAATTTTTTTATTGGAGGGAGTCTAATGAATTTATTTATGTATAAGTGAGTATTATGCTATAAATTGAAATTATGTATACAGGTTGGTGTATTAATAAAACAAGTTAGAAAAGAAATACAGCACAATATTAATTTGTCTATATACTTTTGTCCATTACTGTATGTTAATTAAGACAGCAGGGGGTACTTCTGTTTGTGTAAGCCAATGAGTAGTACCAATTCTTGGGATCCAATGCTGTAGAGCATGAACGGGGGAGTTTTAGAAAGTGCGACTATTTTGCACCCTCAGCTTTTTGTTGGGAGAGAAAGTCGGAAATAGATGGTGCAACCCTTATCTTAAAACTTGAGGTAAAACCAGAACCAATATTGTTCGACTTGAATTACATATTGCATAAGACATGCCCCTACACCCTATTTCACGAGTATTCATCATGCTTTGACATCCTCTGAGGTGAGCAGCTGATCAGCAAGTGACACTTTTGTGTTAGTATGCAACATTGGCAATAATGAATCGGGTATAAATCTAGAAAAACTATTTGTGATGAATCCGTAGCATGCAAAAACCAAAATAAAACACGGCTCTGACTACCTGACGTTAACGGATCCGTGAGAATTATGTGTCTTGTGCCGATATGGGAAATTGTGAGGTATTACAAGATAATCAGCTGTCATTCTACCGTGATGGATACACCCTATTTCACGAGTATCCATCACGGAAGAATGACAGGTGATTATCTAGTATATCTCAAAATTTCCCATATCGGCACAGGACACATAATTCTGACGGATCCGTCAACGTTAGGTAGTCAAAGCCATATTTTGTTTTGGTTTTTTTTACGCGACAGAGTCATTTTGTACTTGCTTACAGCTGTTCTACTTAGAAAAGTTCATTTGCTTATAAAAAACAAAACACTGCAAACAAGTTTTACTAGATTTACCCCAGATTCATTATTGCCAACATCGCAGACTAACACAAAAATGTCACTTGCTGATCAGCTGTTTACCTCAGTAGACGTCAAAGCGTGATGGATAGATACTCATGAAATAGGGCTTACTCGTGAAATGAGGTAAAGGTGTACGTCACACATTATATAGGTTATGCCCTAAGTTCCAAGTTATACCCACGAGTATCCATCACGGTAGAATGACAGCTGATTATCTAGTAATATCTCAAAATTCCCCATATCAGCACAGGACAAATAATTCTGCCGGTTCCGTCAACGTCACGTAGTCAGAGCCGTATTTTGTTTTTTTTTTGTAGGCTACAGATTCATTTTGTACTTGTCAACAGCTCTTTTATTTAGAAAAGTTCATTTGCATACAAAAAACAAAAGGTTGCAAACAAGTTTTACTAGATTTACATCCGATTCATTATTGCCAACGTCGCAGACTAACACAAAAATGTCATTTGCTGATCAGGTGTTCTCCTCAGTAGACGTAAATGCATAATGGATACTCGTGAAATAAGGTATAAGTGCATTCGGTAGCACTTACATCAGCAAATACACAACTTTACCTCTTGATAAACCACTTTTTTTGATATTCAATATGGGTTTCTGACTTGGAAGTATCTTGGTGTATATATGAAGCCGTATTTAATGAAATATTCATAAAAATACTAATTATTCCAGTAAAGCTAAATATAGCAAAGAAGATGTTAGGTCCAAACATGAGTTACAGCCCTATCCAAAAGGATAAATCCCATTTACTGAAATACCTGCCGAAATCTCAAGATGAGATGCCACCAAGGTCTATGGAAGATAGTTTTTTGGTAGGCATTATACCTTTATCTAAAGACAAGGCTTTACAAGACAAGTATGTCACTTTTTTGGGGCATGTTAGGATAGGAAGGCTTCTAGAAGATATGGATATTTTTGCAGGTAAACTATAACTATTACTTTAAAGTACATATTGGGAAAAACCAAAATCAAAGAGAGTATCATAACACCTCATTTTCTGCTTATAGTGAGGTGCAACTTTGTATCATCTACACTGGTGCTCCTACATTCCACTATATCCAAAGACAGGCCAGGTCAGCATTGGGATACAATGCCTTTTGCTTTCTTCCTTTTTCATACCAGATAGGCATATTCCTGTATGGAGAGATTTGGTAGATAGTTTTAAGAGACAGCATTTATGCTCTTATATCTCATTTTTTCTACACTCTTTTTCATATTTTTGGTTTTTTTTTGCAGTCATGGTATGTTACAAGCACATAGTCAATCCAAAGCTTCCTGAAAATGAAACTTTTCCATATAATTTGGTGACAGTACTGGTTGACAGGATAGATTTCACAGAGTATGTTCCTAAGGTATGTGTGCCATTTTTATTTTGTTTTGATAACAAATACCAGTCTAAACCCGCGCCTCTACTCGCATGGAAGTAGTGTGAAGGATAACATAACGCAAATTCAAAGTAATGCAATAGTTACCATGGCAATGAATATTTTTCATTCAACATTTTAATGCTTTAATAAATTGTTCATGTTTCGATTTTTTATATCTTCCACAAAAAGTAAGATGTTTACTTGAAAATTTATTTGATCTCAAAAATACTTTAGTACACACGTGTGTGTACGAGGGATGCCTTTTAAGTTTTGCATATGGAAATAAAACAACACGGTAGGTGGTTTTAAATGACTTTATTGTTTTTCGAAGTATTCTCCATGAAGATTAATACACATCTGCATGCGCTCGAACCAATTTTCGAAGCACTTATTCCACTCGTTTGCTGGCAGATCCAAAACGGCATTTTTGAATGCGTCAACTGCTTCTTCTGGTGACTGGAACCTTTGACCACGCAGTCTGTTTTTAATTTTCGGGAAAGTAAAGAAATCGCTAGGACTTAGATTGAGACTATATGGAGGATGGTCCAATAATTCCACGTTTTCTTCCGTTAAATACTGCCGTGTTTTTGAGCTGTGTGTGAGCTTGCATTGGATGATTCTCCTTTCGGGGTTGATTTTTCGAAGCTCGGTGATGACTTTTGGCAAACAAATGGTGGTATACCAATCCGTAGTAACAGTTCTTTGCTCATTAAGAGGAATTGTTGCCATATGACCCGCTTTTGACACAAATGTCGCGACCATGTTTTTCGAAAGCCTTCGAGAACGGATGACTTTTGTTGCCTTTTCTTCGCCTTGGAACACCCAAACAGCCGACTGTCGTTTATTTTCTGGTTCATAACAGTAAATCCACGATTCATCACCACTAACAATGCTGTACACATTTTTCGAGTTTCCGGAATTGAAACGGTCAAGCGTTTTTTGACACCAATTAACCCTGGCTGCTTTCTGCTCTTCAGTCAACAGGTGGGGTATCCAACGAGAAACTAATTTTCTAACTCCTAATTCTTCATGTAAAATTTTTTGAATTGAGATTTTTGAGATCTTCAAGGACGCCTCAATCCCGCGATATGCCACATGTCTATTTTCAATGATGAGTTTGTGCACAGCATCGACGTTTTCCTGGGTGACTGCCGTTTTTGGTGCACCCACCCTGGAATCGTCGCTAAGACTCGCCCGTCCACGTTTGAATTCTCCATACCAACGGGAAATTGTCGACTGATGTGGCGCTTCGTTGCCGAAAACAGACAGTAACTCAGCAAGGGATTCTTGTTGCGATAATTGTCTCTGAAAGTTGTAATAAATTATGGCGAGAAAATGTTCTCGGTTGAGTTCCATTTTTCTAATGACTTGGTGACACTTAAAAATTCACTGTAGTGAGAGCACAGCACGTATTGTAGTGAAACTTAAGTTGACTAAAGAGTGAGGTTAAGATTCAGTACTGACGTTCGAACCGCGCGGCCTACTATGTTTCTATATGCAAAACTTAAAAGACATCCCTCGTAAGCACGCACGCACACACACATATAACGTATTTTTGAGATATTTTGTCCATTCTCTACTTTCTGGACACTCTTAAGTACCCATAACGACGATAGTCAAGTTCATCGTTAAAGGCACACTTAACATTTCCGGTGTATCGTTTAAGAAAACTTTTGACCTTCAGGGACATAGTCAAGGTCACGTTCAAGATCACCAATGGATGGGGCTTTTCAAACCTTTGCAACTTTGTTCTACAACATTTTTCTCTTTGAAATGTATTTTTCAAGAAATTTGATCTATTTGGACACCATATTTTCGCAGATAAAGCCAGCCCCATAGCCTTCCTTGGGAGTCAGTTAATAAGTGTACAAAATTTACGCCTCTCCATACTGTAGCTCAGAAATGATGCTGACAGACTGAACAGCATTCACTTTTATTTATATAGACGTATATGTTTGTCAGATCTGTTATCCATGACCGTTTAAAAAAATATATTTGATTATGAGATTCAGAAAGATTTCTTGTGAAATATTTTATCACAATTTTGATGTCTTCCAAAACGCCTTCAGGAATTTTAGACAGTATGATATATGAAGGCATCACAGATTAAGCTTACAGCAAGCCTCCAGACTCTCAAACATTCTTTATGAACTCATTTCATCTCCAGCAGTGTGTTAGCCTTATTAACTTACTCAACACGGATATGTGCATCTATGTGCTGTACTTAGACGTTCATAGTTTCTGCTGTCAACTAAAGACGGTGGCCGACAGGTACACAGTTGTAAGCATAAGTGGAAGGCGGCCAGGTGGCGCCACAGAACACGTGCGAGAGTCATGCCTGCAAGAAAATATCTCGCAGGCATAACTTGTTCATAATATATCGACATAATTTACAGTCAAATGAAGATATAAAGATATCAGGCCACGTGAGTTGGGTGGGCAAGAGTTCAATGGAGGTAGTGGTATGGCTAGAACAGAAACAGTCTGGCGTTTGGCAGAGGGTGACAAGAGCTCTGTTCCTCTTGGCCGCTCGTGATGTAAACAATGTTGGCGCTGGTATCGTCAACTCCATAATCCCAGCAAACGAAAGGGAGAAACAGATTCTAGCTGGAGGGGAAACCAGGAAGAAAAGGCGGCAGGAGTTACAGAAGAAGAATTTGGCTAAGGTATGCATCATATTCACAAATATTAGCAGGTTAATTCATTGAGGAGAGGAGACATAAAATATTGATGTCTCCGTTTTCTAGGTGATTCCCGATGCAGAAGAACAGAAGACCGTTCACGACCTCTTCGTCCGCACAGTAGAATCGTCAGATGTTTCGTTACGTAACAGGGTACTACCAGCCGATTGCATTTGGATGTCGGACGCCACTATATCCAACGTTATCTTCTCCCAGCCCGAAGATAGGAACTTGCACAACACCGTCTTTGGAGGATTCATGATGAGGCAGGCGTTGGAACTTAGCTGGGTTCTTGGGTTGAAGTAAGTTCTTCTTTTTTATACTTATATGCTTTTAATCGCACTAACACTGCAAAGCTCTTGATAGCATGCCATGACCTAGTATGGACAACAGGATATACTGGTGAAAAAGATTATTAAGCAACCAATATTTTTATTGAAGAAGAGAGCTAATTAGGAAGCTAGAGGAAAATACTGCTAGTTTCACTTGTAGGTGGGGATAGGTTAAGTCATAATAGTTATCACAAAAATATAAAAAAATATAAGTCGTGTACTTTTCAAATTATAGGCATTAAAATAATCGGAAAAATCTACACCCTGTGATGATCTTTTAGTTCCCATTACTACAAGTTTTAATTTTTTTCAGGCGGAGTATCGGACAGCGTTATTCTACGTAGTGACTGCAATACAGATAGTATTGTTATTCAATGGTGAATGAATTCATTAAATTCAGACTTTTCCGATTTTTTCAAACTTTATAATTTGTGCACGTCTTATGAGTTATTCAGATCTTAAAATTTAAGGAAGTTGTGACATTTTCTGTGGTTTTCGGTCGTGACGTCACATGACATGAGTTTGGCTTCTAAGCCACAGAACTGCCGCGATGGCCGTTGCACATTGCATTCATCTTGGTATAGACTTTTCAGGAAGCATCACAGTACAACGTTAGCACTGGTAGATCTTTGTGATAATATTATTAGGGCATTGGACAAAACGTTAGCCACGGCAGTTGTATCACTTGACTATTCAAAAGCATTCAATCGAATTAATCATAAACTTTTATGTGCAAAGTTGAGGTACTTAGTCTTTGATGATACTTCAGTAGCTTTTTTCCCGCAACTACTTATCAGGTCGTACGCAATGTGTCTATTAGTAACATTCAATCTAATATTGCGACTATACCATCAGGTGTTCCACCAGGCTCAATTTCGGGACATGTGTTTTTTTAATACATACCTTTGACCTGCATAAAACAGTCGAGAATTCAGAAATACAAACAATTGCTGATGATAAGCAGATAATTTACTATTTCGACGCTTCGGATGCACCAATTGCGGCGCCCACTCTTCAACTGGACTACAACAGGTACATCAATTTTCTGTGGATCATAATCTCGATATTAATCCCGATAAAACACAAGTGCTACTGTTTTGTTCTGATCAGAAGAGAAAAATCGTCGAAGACTCTTTTCATTTAACTATTGATGGTATAACTTTGCGGCATACTCAAACAGCAAAGATTCTAGGCGTAGAAATGACAACAAATTAAGATTTCGTAGCCGTATAGCTAATTTGAAGCTCTTTATTCCATTCGATACTTGCTAAACTTCAAGCTGAGGAAAATACTGTGTGAATCTGTGGTTATGTCAATTCTCAGTTTCTGTTATGTCGTTTATTACCCATGTTTGTATCAGTTGACAAAAAATAGGCTTCAAATCATCCAAAATAACTGTGTACGCTTTATTTTTGGTTTGCGTAAATACGATCACGTTAGTGAAAAATATAGGGTACTGAACTGGCTTAAGTTAAGATGTCTAGTTAAACATAAGTTCTTAGTTTTAGATCACAAAATTCTGTTGTCATCAAAGCCCGAATATCTAAGAGTCAAATTGCATTTTAATTACGAAGTTCATGACATGTCTGCTAGAAATCGTTTTGATGTCTCATGAGGGTGTGGGAACTAAGGGTTCCTCAGAAATTGCAACTTGTTTGTGGAAACATCTAAGCGGTCTTGGGAATGAAGTAACGTATGTCCTAAAAAATTGGCACAAAATGTTTATCGGATTTTTTTTGAATGAAGAAATTTATTTAAACACTAACTAGTTATCATAAATTACAACTTAATACTTAACTAAACTATGCTATCGAATTATGTGGAGCTGTCGATTCTGCTCTACCAGAGGCAACTTTCTTTGAATGTCTCTCATGAGGACGGAAATCAGATCAATTTCTCTCAGATTTCCGTAAATTCACCGTCTTAATTGTTATATAATAAACCTTCCTTGACAGTAAAGCCCAAAAATCCTGCGGCAAGTTTGGAGGATAATCGTTTTTGGGAACAAAAGGTATGTTCTGTTGTCGAAGCCAGTTTTAGATATCTCTTGAGTAATGGCATGATGCTAAGTGTGTCCAAAACATGATATGGTCATTAGCATGATTTTCGTACAACCTGAAGCAATATGGAAAGGCAGTTATTAATACAGCTCCGACTAATCAAAGCTTCAGCCCTCACCCTTCACACAAAAGGTTGGGATACACTACTGTTAGAAATTGCGCACCAGACAAGGATTTTATCTGCAAATTTCGCTGTATGTTTATAAAAATACTTGGAGTCTGGTCATTCCGAAATGGAGTTAGCTGGTGTCGACTATGCTATAGAGAACCGTGGCAATAAAGTAAATATACATACATATATATATATATATATACAGGGTGACTTTGAAGTTGAGTCATTAATTTTCAGATAATGATTGTAGAAGGAATATAAACCAAAATATGTGTGTAAAAATAAAAAAAAATTAAAAAAATATTTTTACCTTGTTTTATAAAGTATCCTCCCGACAAGTATTTCAGTGCGGACCTGTATTTGATCGTGAGGTCCCCTGTGAGGTCTTAAGTCACCTGATTCACGAGCCCGTTGTACTACATTAACAAAGGCACGAGGGGTTGGTTGCACTCGATTGGGAAACCGATCCGCATAAACATGTGCCATTTTTTATTTCGTTTGAGCCACGCAACAGATACAACTATTCACTGACACTTACTGTATACAAATGAATGAAATAATTCGTTCCAAATTCTTTCGCTTTTTTGTTTCCGATGCGATGAACCGATACGACGGATTATATCCGTTGTCGCCAAACACGAGCACATTGAGACAGGGCGGTACTCAAACTTCCAAAGGGCTATAACTTTGTTACTTTAATTTTACCAGAAAAATGGTAAAGGAAAAAAACATTTCTTTTGATCAGATCTACTCACTGTTAAAATAAATGACTCAACTTCGAAGTCACCCTGTATATATATATATATATATATATATATATATATATATATACCCCCAAAGGTTGGTACATGGTACTTGCAAGTCTAAGCCACCGTTTTATAACGTTATCGAAATTAGTTACTAAGATTTCTTAAATTTTAAAGAGTTTTCCAAGTGTGCAATTGTAAACAAACAGAAATTTGAAGATGGCGGTGCCTTAAATTGGTTAAAAGTAAAATGGATTCAATATAGGAGAGACCAATCTAACCGAATATTCTTTAAGGAACGTTCAAGTGATTTTGAGTTCCGTTCCATATTGGAACCACTGATGAAGTTCAAGACAAAGCCGATTCTGAAAAAACTGATTGTTTGGATAATTTGTTCTATGCTATGTATTACTGATAATATTTAATAAAATATTTTGTGGAGAAAGCTGAATATTCCTTATATTTATACATCGAAACAAACTGTTACATCTTTTCACATCTTAAAATAACATCCAGATTCATTGTAGTGAATAAAACTAAGCCACACAACCTAATAGTTACATAAATATAAATATTTTCCATTGATATGATAAAGCATAATCCTAAAATGAAACTGGCCAAACAGATTTTTGTTTCTTCTGTTAATTATTGTTCTAGAGAAAAAAAACGATTTTCAGGGTACATACTTTTTTAAAATCGCGCTAGCCCGGAAGTTTGTCTATGTGGTTTAGAACCCTTCTCGCCCAAGATGACGATACAAGGCATATGCATTTGTTCACAATTTGTAATTAATTTGAATAAATTTATCATTATTATTATTATATTAAATAAATTCCTTCTAACATAAAAATGATATTCGGATACAACGGATTGAGGATGGAAATACTCACTACAAATCTTCAAAAATCTGGTGACTCAAATTCAATTTTTCTTCTACAGATTCAGCAAGCTACGTCCAGTCTTAAAAAGCATCAGTGATATACAGTTCAACAAGCCAGTGAAAGTAAACTCACTGATCCAGATGCATGGGCACGTGGTATACACAAACCTGAACTATTTCCAGATAACCACTTTCACAGAGACGTTCAATCCGATTACAGGAAAAATTGATACCTCAAATTCCTTCCACTTTACATATTATGTACCTGAGGTGAGTGCCTATATCCATATAGTTTTATCATATCGCTGAGATACTTCATGCACAATAACTGACAACATCTCTACTTACCGCCTGCTTTTTTTGCCTTGCATAGATAGATTCAGATAGATAGATAAATATGCCTTATTGTCGGAAGAATACAATCGTTCTTAATGATAAAGCTAACTTAGAACTAAATTATAATATTTACATTTGTGGATCTTAAGTAGGTGAACTGTAAGAACTCGCACATGGTATAATGTGGTTTACATATTAAAAAGTTTTGAAGTCTGCAGCGGAATAACTTAAAATTGTTAATTATTTTGATACCATCAGAGAGGCACATGTAAATTTTCAGACCATTATAAATTATTGAGTCTTTCACAAGTGTTGAGTTAGGTACTACTAATTTAAGCTCTTGTATTCGTCTAATATTGTATTTTATATTTAATGCTTCAAATTAGGATTTATTTTTAAAAATAAGAGTTGCCTTTTCCAAATTGTACAATGATACGACAGTCATATTTTAAGATTTACAAATAAAGGCTTGCATGTAGCTCTAGGATTGACTGGTTGGTCGTATCTGCTCTATTAAATGTCACTGACACACAACCTTTCTCACCTGTACCAGATTAGACCATTACCCAACTTGGTGGGTACGTAGCCGCTGAAAATACATAATATAAACGTTATACCTAATATTATGTTCATATTGACTTTTTCTGATATCCACATTCGCAAAATATTCGTCACATCCCAAGAATGCAGTTAAAAAACTTTCTCTTCCAGCTGGTGAAAGAAGTGATCCCAATGACTTACCAAGAAGCAATGATGTATATCGACGGCCGGCGACACTTTAACGAAGTTATGCACAAAACCGGTACCTTCAAATTCCCTAGTAAAATGTAGGCCTAAAAATACCGTACTTATATTTCTTTGTTTTGGTTGTAGAATTGAGAAACGCTTGAAATTCTGCGACTGGTTGTAATTGGAGGCTGTGAAAAATGATGGAAAGCAGGTGATTTTTTTTTGCAAAAAGCAGCTTTAATCGTTTCATTCCAGAAGATAGTTAAGTATCTCCACGTTTTAAGTTTGTTGTAACACAATTAATTGCCCTTCGATTTGGTATACAATTGGATTTGTATTTGATTCAGTTGAGGACCACCCAGTATATTGTTATTTACGCGAGACAGTATTTTATTCAATGACAGGAACATATGATGTCTATGTTGAGAATGGTTTAGTAGGGGAAATGTAATTTTGAATGTTGTTAATGTTTTTTATCCTATTTATTTTTATGAAATTATAGTGATTACACATCACATAGTTGAAAGAAATTCTAATGTATATTTATGTACAATCTGTTTGTTGAAAATTACATGTATTTTATTTGAAATGTGTTTTTTTATTGTGATTCTAACTGAATTACGACCGTTGAAATTAATTTCGATGTCGTGTTGCCGTCCTACGTTTGATTCGCTATGATTTTGGCACTGTCTACCGCCGTACTGAATTGAATATAAAAGATGGACCATGATCATGATTTTTGTTTATATCAGATTTTTTCATTTTTTTTTCAAATCAAATCAAGAATTTTTATATTTATTATAAATTTGACTTAATATTCCCGTTAAATGGTAGATTTTGACTTTATGAGCAGACAACTAACTCCCTAATAAAACTATTATTTTTCGCATTAACAACACTCCAGTTAGCGTTCGATGTAATGCGTTCCTAGTGCACGTAGCGGAACGAAAGTCGTCACTTGGAATGTTGAATAAAACCACCAATAAGGGCTATATCATATGCGACTTGAGTAAGCATTTTCGGAACTAAAAATGGGTATCCGGGAACAGTCTACAGTCTGTAATGTTTAAATTTAAAGCCAAGGGTGATCCATTCAAACAAGTAATATTTGCAGAGGAAATAATAAAAACTGTAAAACCATTGCAGTTGTGGAAGTCACACTTGAGAGCAGGGTATATGACTATGGTCAACTACCGTCTATCTTATACCAGTTGTACACAGCTGTGACTTCCTCTGCATCTATAGAAAGGATTCTTTCTACATTTTATCTGATCCAATATAAACTATAACATAAATAATAATAATTACTCTTTTTATTTGGGCGAAGTTTAGCTTAAGCTACTCCTCCATCCATACAAAAATAAATACAAACACGAATAAATAAAAATAGTTAATGATTATAATGATACATATTTAATAAATTCACTCTGACATATTAATGAATGCTATTTTTATTAGCAGAAGAGGAGGTATTTTTATTTTTTTCTTTGTAAAAGCAGATACTTGATATGCCCTTTGAACCTGTAAAATGTCGAAAGATTTAATTTCAGGCGGTAATAAATTACACAGCGTACATCATATACGACACCGCCCATTTTTTTAGTATTTTCAAAACCGTCAATTGGAATGAACTAAAATTTGGTATCTGGATTTACCTAGGTATTGCCACATTCAAAACTCTTAACTTAAAATTAGCGTGCACCAGTGGCGGAGATACAGGGGATTAGTGGCATTTTTCCAAATAAAAATAGTAGGCCACTTTTTTTTTCGAAACGCAATTTTTCGAAAAAATCAAAGCAAACTAATTAGACCGTCAAAGCTTTATTTCAATAAATGTTCAAAAAGACCACCATTCTGACGGATACAAGTGCGGAATCTTTTTAATAAAGAAAAACGTGTTTCCGCAACAGTATTAATTTGTTCAGCATACACTAGTTGTTTAAAAGGGCCAAAATAAGGAATCCAGGGGGTTCAAATCAGGAGACCTCGCAGGCCAATGTCCGGGTCCGGTTCTGCCAATCCATCTAACCATGCGGTTATGTTACGACGAACATACGGTGGAGCACCGTGGTGCTGATACCTCATTAGTATTCTCGTTGCTAACGGAACATCATCTAACACAGTTTCTATGTATTTAATTCTCTACAAAAGCATTTAAACGTTGTGGCAATACGTGTATAAACAGTTGGACATTGAAAATGCCGCACCAGACATTTCTAGAAAATCTGTGTTGGAAACGAGTGGATTCTTACAGAACGGGGATTTTCTAACGACCAAATGTGTTCATTACGAGAATTAAAGGTTCCACTTCTCGTAAAAGGCGAAGGTAAAATTCGAAAAACCGATTCGAAAAAAAAAACAGTGGCGTAGTATTTTTATTTCGAAAAATAATCCCACTAATCCCCTTTCCGCCATTGGTGCACGTTAATTTTAAGTAAAGACTTTTGAATCTGGACAATACTTAGGGAGATCCACATACCAAATTTTAATTTA